ATTGAGTTGCTTCAAGTAATCCAATACAGTAATATAATTGATAAAACTTATGTGCATTCATATGAAATATCAGGTGCCTGTTCTGTCTCACATTAGTCTTTCGTGATACACAAAATAAAATACATCATGTTGAATTGAAGTACTAAAATCCAATAATCTAACATCAGTTTCGATTATTCGAGGGATGCCTAAATGAGCTAATTCAACCAGTTTATGCAGCAACACAATAACAAAAATAGCAGCAAAGTCTTGAATAGTAGTCTCGTCTGGGGTAGAAATGCATTAAGCTAACAAATTAACATGTGAGCTCACCAAAAATATAATTCCTCAACTTAGATACAACATGGGGAAATTAACTTCTCGACTGTTCATTCTATCAAAGAAAATAGAAGAACTACACAGGAAGCCAGCAAACTGATCTCAACATTTGGTTTAGTACATAGTATTAACCACGACCATGTCTCATTCTATCTCTTAGAATACAACTGGATGAATTTCCGAAAAACAATATCTAAAGCATACAAAAGAATAAAGAACTGTTGATACTTACAACTAGAACTCATCTGTTGAATCCAAATCTTCATGACTCAAATCTTTTATACTTACAAAAGAATAAATTAACTTCCTATCTTCATGTAAATATCCATATTCTATCTGGATCCGATTTCTTTTCCCTTCAAGTATGGGTTTTGAGTTCTATATTCAGGCAAATAGAATTATTTATATGGGAGTGCATGTGTACACATATTCTCCCAAATTACAGTACCAAACAACAAAAGGCAACAGTCACTCAATCATCAACCAGTACGTAACTTGGTTTATCAAAAAAAAATTCATATGGCATAAAATCGAACATAAGGCAGGCACCCATTAGCATAGAGAACAGACAATTTTAACGGAAGAGATCGAGATATAAAGAGTACCCAGATCAGAAACTGCAGAAATTGAAAAAAAGCTACAACAGAGAAAAGCAAACTCAGATCAGATCTAGGGTTTCAAAATACAAAGAGAGATCCCTGCGTTGAGACGAGAGAGGAGAAGGGGAGAGAGGAGAGGGGGAGAGAGGAGAGAGGAGAGATACCTGGAGATTCGAGATCGCCGCTGAGAAACGAGAGGGATCGCCGCTGAGAAACGAGAGGGAGGAGGAGTCGGGATCGGGGGAGTCGTCGGGTCCGGATTTGGATTTGGTAAATACGAAGGGTGAGGGTGGGATTTCAAATACGTGTATTTGGGCTTTCAAAATCACCTCTTTAAAATCATTTGATTTAAAATCTCAGTCCAATTTGAGGCCCAAACAAGTGATTTGGATTTGAAATACCCAGGATTTTAAATCCAGGGTCCAAATCTAAGTTCCCAAACGCAGCCTTATAGAAATCTTCAAAAAAAAAATATTTACAAAACTGACGCTATTGATCTATAAAGTTTTCTATAAAACCAGTCAACCAAACAGCCCTGAATGATTGAGCGACTAGTTCGGAATACTACAGATTTAAGGAACTGATATCCCAAAAATCCAAGCTGGTGCCAAAAACCCTAATTCCTAAATCTCGAGTGCCCAATTCCTCGCGAAGCCTTAACGCTAGTTCCTCCTATTAACCACCGCTCCGACGAGGCTCCG